GCCGCCACCCCACCCCCCACACTCTGGAAGCCAGGGTCACCTCACAGAGGGGATTTGCAGCCAAAGGACCTGGCTCCTCTGCCCACCCTCCTCTTCCCCAGCCTTCCCCTCTAGGGGGCTCTGCAGACCCTTCCAGCCAGCCTCCTGCATGGCGAATCCCACCTCTACCCCCCACCGCCCAGGCTGCTCCCTCCCTAGAAGGCGGACCCCACCCAGGACACCTGAATCCTTCCGGCAAGGATCGCTCTCATGCGAAGACCAGCCCACGTGACTCTGGTATATGACCTTTGCCAGGGTCCTGTTGTGGGGTCAGACATTACATCTCCCATCCCTCGGGAGCTGGGACCACACTCTACTTCATCCCATAGAGCTGGGCGTGGGGTGCATCTAGCTGCAACCTGATTTCTGTGATTTCTGTATCAGTGAGCCCACACTCAGTGGCCCTCCGTTTTCAAGGCTTCCAAATCTGCAGGTTCAACCAGGCATTGGCCGAAAATACATGGAAAAAAAAAAATTTGCATCTGTGGTTAACACATACAGACTGTTTTTCTTGTCATTATTCCCTAAACAATACAGAAGAGCAACTACTTACATAGCATTTACATTGGGTGAGTTAATTATAAGTCATCCAGAGATGATTTAAATACACAGGAGGATGTGGGTCGGTTATATGCAAAGACTATTCCGTTGTGTACAAGGGACTGAGCATCCTGAGATTTGGGTATCCACAAGGGTCCCGGAACCTATCCCACGTGAATACTGAGGGATGACGGTAGGGGTGTAACATAAATAGTGTTGTTTCAGTCATCTTATTTGTTGCTGTGACCAAAAGAGCTGGCGAGAACAATTTTAGAGAAGGAAAAATTTATTTGGCACTCATGGTTTCAGAGGTCTCTGTCCACAGAGGGCGGACTCCACTGCTCTGGGCCCAGGGTGAGGCAGACCATCATGGCAGAAGGGCATGGAGGAGGAGAGCAGCTCAGGACTTGGCAAATAGGAAGCAGAGAGAGAGAAAGCGCCACTCACCAGGGACAAAATGTGTACTCCAAAGGCACGCTCCCTGTGACCCTGCTCCTCCTGCCACAGCCTACCTGCCTACAGCCATCACCCAGTTAATCCTTACCAGTGGATCAATCCGCATTTTAGGTTCTAACTCATAATCTAATCATTTCACCTCTGAACTTCTTGCACTGTGTCACACATGAGCTTTTGGGGAACACCACATATCAGAATCATGACAAGTGTGTATGTGTGTGATAAAAATCCATACTGGCTGGGTACAGTGGTGCACACCTGTAATCCCAGCAGCTGGGGAGGCTGAGGCAGGAGGATCGCAAGTTCAAAGCCAGCCTCAGCAACAGCGAGGCACTAAGCAGCTCAGGGAGACCCTGTTCTCTAAATAAACTACAAAACAGGGCTGGGAATGTGGCTCAGTGGTCGAGTGCCCCTGAATTCAATCCTCCGCCAAAATGCATACCAATATCTAACCTCTTACCCACTTTTAGGTGTGCGGTTCCGTGGCACTAAGCACATACACATATTTGTGTGGTTATCAGCATCATCCATTATCTCCAGAACTTCAGCCTCCCAAACAGAAACTCTGCACGCCTTAAGCACTGTCCCTCAAGTGTTGGAACAACCCACCCTCCTGGGCATTTCCCCAAGCCTCTGGGAGAAAGGATGTGTGCAGGGAGTATGGGTCCCAGGCTGAGCTCCCTGGCTCATACTGGACCCCACAGCACCACGGGCTGGGAGAGATGACGCTGAACCTGTCCCCTGTAGGCCTCAGTTTCTGCATTTCTGTAAAATGGGTCTTTCCCCAGGCCTTCTGTCGCGTCTCCCCACCAGCTCTGGGCCCTCTCACAGCACTGGCCAGGAGGGGTTGCATTCACAAATGTCTTAGCCAAGCCAAACGCTGCCCACTGGCATGGTCAAGGTGTTGGCCCATCTCTGGGCAGGAGCCTTGTTTATTGTCTTCCTGGGCAGGGAGTCCTCAGGGACCCAGAGTCGCATACCAATCAGGGCAGCTAGCGCAGGCGGAGAAGCATCGCCTTCATCAGAACAAAATAATTAAAAGAGGATTCTGGGATAAGGCAGGCCTGTGACTGGAGGAGAGGGCAGCATTTAACTCTTCACAGGCTGGGCTGCATGGGGCCAGGGCGTGGCCCGGAGCACTGGGCAGGAGCAGAACTGTGAAGGTCCAGACCCAGGGAAGGATGGCAGGAGGGCCCTGGGTATGCCCGTCACTCCTAACAGTATCCTATGGCCCGCGTCTCCTCTGGGAACTGTCCTCCATTCTCACCTTCTACCTCCAGCCACCATCTCTCTCTTTCCAAGGCTCTCTGCAGGCTGATCCCTGCCTCTGTGTAGCTACAGAATGGACTGAACAACCAAGAGTTCACCAGCTTGTCCAAACTCCAGCCTGACCCTGGAGCTCCTTACCCCTGAGAGAAGGGACCTCAACCTCAGTGAGTCCCAGCGGTAACTGAGGTCATTCTGTCCTAGCCAGGGGATGGGTGCCTGGCCTGAGCTGGGCCTCCCAGATTCTGATTCACCTGCCTTTACCTGAACCCAAGAGGAAAGAGATGGAGCAGGGCAGGGACCTGAGTGGAATGGCCTAGACCCATCCACCTGTCCCTGGGGGAACCTCTGCAGAGCTCCTCCTGTGGACCAGGGGCTGCTCTCTCCTGGCAACACAGCAGGGTCTTCCACCTTCAGCAGACCCACAGGGAATATAGAGACCACAGGTTGGGTAACCCTGAGTTGTAAAAACACTGAGGAAAAAGTCACATTCCCGTCATCTCTCTGCCCGTCAGACCACTCCAGTGTAAAATGGCTTCACTGTGCTTTTGAACTCTCAGGTTGACCACTCAGATGGGGGGACTTGTCTCTATGCCATGATGTTGAGGCTTCAGCCTGAAGCCTGAGCCCCAGGGGCAGTGCTGGGCCTCAGCCTGGAGCTGGACCCCTGCAAGCATCCCCCCCCCTCACACTCTGGGCTAGAACAGGGACGCTCCCTGGCCTGTTGGCCTAGACTTTTGCCAATGGCACATGTGCGTGCTGCTTGGGCTTCCTTGCATCATGGCGGCAGGGTTCTATGTGCAAATGTTCCTGAGGACCTGGGGAGCCTCTCCTGCCTGGGCTTGAAGTCACAGCCTTCCCGGGGTCTGGGACTTGAATGGAGACCCCAGCTCCATGAGAAGGAACCAAGAAGAAGATGGGTGAAAAGATGGGAGGTGGTGTTGCAGCCGGGGGAAAGGCCCTGCTACAGGTCAGGGCAGCGGAGGCTCCTATGGGAAGGTGACACAAGTGAGTGTCCAGGGAGCATAGAAGCAGAAAGACTACCCCAGGCTGTGCCTCTTGAGGTGCCCCAGGCTGCAAAGAACGAACACTAACCTTAGCTCAATTGCAATTAGATCAAACGTTCCTCTGCTTACCTGAAAAGTGGCGGCCAGGTGGGCAGGTAGCAGCTAGGCCATTGGGAGGGACACTAGGTTCACACCACCCAGGTGAGTTGTAAGTTCTGCAAGGTGGGCATATACCAGTTCATCCTCCCTAACACCCCATTTCACAGATGACGGGGCCAAGGTTCCGAAGGTGAGGTGACTGTCCCCAGCCACCGTCTCAGTGCTGGGCTTATGGCCAGGACAACTGGCTCCAAACTCTTGCACTTGTTCTGCCTGGGGGAGGGGCCCAGGCACTGGCCCCAGACCAGCCATGGAGAGCAGCATCTGCATGTGCAGCCCCCGTTCAGCCGGAAGCCCCTCTTTGTGCCCTGAAGCCAACACTGCTGCTAGCCGGCTGCACCTCACCAGAAAGGGCACCCTCAGGGACCCAGGGAGGATAAACAAGCTCAGGTTGGCCCTTGGGAGCTGAGCCATCCTGGGCATCCTGCCCCCACCCTCTCAGCTGCCTGCCAGGGATGCCCCTGGGGCCTAGGACACAAATTCTCCCTTCCCTTGGAGCTCTGTCTCCCCTTCTGTCCCATGTGCCTGGACTTTGGGAGCCCAGAGCCTTCATTGGGTTCTGATGCCAACCCAGAAAGACTCACCACTCCACCCCTGCCCTGGGAGTCCCTTCATTCCAACCTCCCTTCCCAGAAAGGCTCTGCAGCGGGTCTTGCTTTGTCCCTTTGTCCCAGGATCTCACCCTGTGGGAAAGAAGGCTGAGCCACCGCAACAGGAAGAGGTGACACCCAGAAACCCAGAATGCCCAGCTCAGGACAGAGCCACCTGCTGCAGACACTGCCCCTGCCTCTGCCAAGGTCTGGTACAGAGTCTCCCAACACACATGGTGGGTTTTTATTAAACTTCCTTGTTAATTGCACAAGTAACACACAAACACATCTGGAGTGAGTTTTAAAACAAACCCCAGACACCATATCGTTTCACTCATAAATACTTGAGTATACAAATGGGGCTTTAAATAATTTGCTGTTTAAATGATGTTGGTTTCTCCTATGATCAACAGAGTACATGCTCACAGAGCAAGAGTGGGGACTTCACCCTGCTCAGTGGTACCTGACTCCTGTCCTCCACCTGCTCCTTCTCTGGCCTGTCTCTGAGCCCAGGCTGGGCTGGTGCATGCGTTTTCCACCCAGCTGAGCTCACTTTGCGATATGATTTGGCACCTTCTCCCTCTTCGTTACTTTACAGCACTAGCAATTCCCCAGAGCTGTCACCAGCTCAAGAAACATCTATCCCAAAGGACTCCTTGGGCACCCGGGTTAGGGGCAATTTTTCACGGTTGTAAACACTGTGCTGAACATCTTTGTGTGGGAGGCACTGTATGGTTTTTGGATCATTCTCTGAGGATGGTTCCCAGCCTCTAGGTCCCACCATCAAAGCTTCCATCCTAAATTGCTTTCCAAGAAGACACAACACTGTTGAAATCCTCATAAATCATGGTGGGAGCAAGCTGTAAAGAGAGGTCACTGGAGCAGGGGCCCCTCTTGCCCTGGGCTGTGGCAGTGTGTGGGAAGGTGGTCTCGAAGGCCACCCCATTGTCTTGCCAGCAGGCTCCCACCCTTAGTTTCCCAAACTGGAGTGGACACAGGTGTGTGTGCTGTTTACCCCCAAAGACGCCTGTCAGCCTTGCCTGTCACCGCACAGCTCTTCCCGCCTCCTCTTCCCGCCCCTGTGTGGAGGCTGCCCCCACTCCAGAGGGAAGGAGCGTCCAGCAGTGGCCATCCACTTTAGCGTGGCCACATCTGCTCTGCAGGAATTGAGGAGGGGGCCTCTAGAGAGGACCATCCATCTCTGGGCATGGATTAAGGTCTGTTTGTTTTCATTCTCCCCTGTCTCCTGGGCCCCAGCTTACCCCCAGGAGAGAAAGGCAGCTTTGCAAATCCAAGCAGGAAAGCAGAAGCCTCAGAGCGGGGGACCCCAGACTGCATCTCTCCCCACCTGCTCCTTTCCTGGAGCCAGAGAGAGGATGCAACTTGGAGGATACTGCATGTCTGTGGCAAGGCTCAGGTGCACACTGTGCCCTTGCAAATCAGCCTTCGGCCCCTGCGAAGTCACCAACTGTGTGAATCCTTGTCCTCACCCAGGCAGGGGCTCACAGCATCCATTTCAGATGAGGAAATTGAGACCGACCGAGCACACCCAGATTCGTTCAAGGGACCCCACCAACCAGAGCCTCTGTTAACCAGCCCCCGCTGGCCGTCGGGGGTCCCTTGCCCGGGTGAAAACGCAGAGTCCCGTTTGTGATGACGCCCTGTTTGCCCGGGAGCCTCAGCCAGATGGAATAAAATCAAGGTAGGTGAGAAAGCCAAGCCCGGCGCAGGTACTGGGGGGGAGGAGCGGCAGATGGGACGGAGCCTCCCCGGGGACCCCAGGGGATTGCAAGCTGGCGGGGTAGGGACGCAGGCGGCTCCACCCTGCTTCCCCTCCGCCTCCCCCCCACCCCGTGCCGCCCGCAGCCCTCTCCCGCCTGCTCAGTGCAAGCGAACGAGACCACCCAGCGGCGACTCGGGGAGGTTGGCGGCGGGGCCACCCCAGTGGGGGGGGCGCCCCCAAATCAGACGCAGCCTCACCCACGGGCGCCCCTGCGGGCAGACGAGGGAGGAGGACCCTCTAGACTCCGCCCCTGAGGACCGAGCCCGCCCGTGGCTCCGCCCCTCGGGCCCCGCCTGCTCGTGACTCCGCCCCCTCGGGCCCCGCCTCCGTGGCCCCGCCTGCCAGTGACTCCGCCCCTCAGAGGCCGCCGCCCGTGACTCCGCCCTTCGGGCCCCGCCTCCGTGGCCCCGCCTGCCCGTGACTCTGCTCCCTCAGGCACCGCCTGCCAGAGACTCTGCCCCTCGAGCCCGCCCCCGTGACTCCGCCCCTCGGGCCCGCCCCATGACTCCGCCCTTCGGGCCCCGCCTCCCGTGACTCCGCCCCTCAGATACCGCCTGCCTGTGACTCCGCCCCTCGGGCCCCACCCGCCCGAGACATCAAAGACACCGTCCTTTCCCTACCTTCTTCTGTGGCCCCTCTCCCAAAAAACCCTCCCCCAAAGACCCTGACCGGGCAGACACAGTCCCTTCCAATCTCTTGCTGACCCCGCCCCTCCCCTGCGGACCCCCTGCTCCCCCGAGACTCCGCTCCTGAGGACCACACCAAAGAATGACGGCTCACCGCGACCCCGCCCACTGCACTGCTCGTGGTCGCGCCCACTATGGACCCTAGCTCACCACTGACCCTGCCCACTATGGTCTACCACTAAGACCTCGCCTCCTGCCCACCATTTCCCCTACCCCATGGGTTCAGCTGAGGGTCGGGACAGAACCGAGACAGGCTCTCACATCCTAAGTACTTGTGTGAATTTGGTCCCATTTTACAGACAGAAAACTAAGGCCCAGAGCGGTTAGATACCTTGTCCTGTGCGGTGGGGGCTGAGGCGGCGTTTGACCCCTGGCGACCTGGAGTGAGAATGTGTGCGTGGGGGAGTTGGGTTTGCAGAACAGGTTGCGTGTGAATGGCTGAGAGCATCACTCTGGACCAAGGAGGGATGTAGAGACAGGGATGGAGACCCCCCAGCTTCGGGAGCCCTCAGGTCGGGTGCAGACTGCTCTGCCTATGGGACCCCTGCTCCTGGGTGTGGGAGGAGGGACCCTGGGGTACGTGGAAGTAGAATTAGGAGGCCCAGCCACCCACCGCCAACGTTCTCCCTGCAGAAAACGTCTTCAAAGAGGGTCCGTGAGGAAAGAGGGACTGGAAACCCCTCAAGGTGAGCTCCATGCCCCACCTACTTTGCGGCTGTCCCACTCCTCCCAGGGAGAGAGCAGCGGCCAGATCAGAGAGGGAAGAAGGAAAGACAGATGACAGGAGGGAAAGACAGAAACCCAGAAACAAACAGGCAGATTCCCAAGAGAACTGTGGAGGATGGGGAGGAGAGAAGGGGGAGGCCCGGAGAGGTGTTGGGGAGACTTCTGAGTTCCCCCTGGCTTTCCAGTCTGTCTAGACCTGCCATGGCCAGCAGTGACCACAGTGTGGCCCAGGCAGAGCCAGAAGGCCCAGGCCTCCCTTTTGGCCTAGATGTGGGTGTCTGAGCCTGGATATGGATATGTCTGTCCCACACAGACCTAGGGTACGGGGCAGGGAAGAGACTCTAGACCATCTTGGGGTCCAGCACAGCTAAGCCAGCCATTGCCAGCCTGCCCCCAAGGACAGAATCATAGCAAGGATCTTGGAGGTGATTTTGGCCTCTCCTTGAATGCGTCCACTGATGAGGAACTCACCACCACCCCACCCCACCCCGCCTCAAGCCAGCTTACTTTGTCTCTGGGCATCTCGATGACTTAGAAAGTACATTTTTATTTTGAGCCGTGTCCCCCTCCCTATCACATCACCCTCAGTTTAAAGAGGAAAATATTGAGGCTCAGAGGACCAAGCACCAGACCAACTGCAATAAGCCCTGCCCTGTCTTGGCCACACAATCCGGTTAGGGATGATCCTGTGACCTATCTAAAACCAATGACAGTCATGCATGCAAATAAGACAGACCTCTTTTTCCTCTGGACTCAGTTCTGGCCTGGAGCCATAATAGCCATGGAGTGGGGCAGAAGTGGAGGAAACTGAGAAAGATGCCAACTTAGCTATCAGAACTGGGAGATGGCAGGAGTCTTGATGGCATCTTGTGAATTCCTGGATCCAGCTATTCCTGAAGCTAGAACTCCTTGAATTTTAAAGTAAGTCAGATAACACTTCCTTTTCTTTGTGAAGCCTATTTGAATTTTCAGCAACCTAAAGGACTCCACATTCCAGAGGATTTTATTGTCCACAAGAAGAGTTTATTGTCTATGAGAAGCATTCCTAGCTGGGCACAGTGGTGCACGCCCTTAATCCCAGCAGCTCATGAGGCTGAGACAGGAGGATCGTGAGTTCAAAGCCAGCCTCAGCAGCGGCGAGGCGCTAAGCAACTCAGGGAGACTCTGTCTCTAAATAAAATACAAAATAGGGCTGGGGATGTGGCTCAGTGGTTGAGTGTCCTTCAGTTCAATCCCTGGTACCAAAAAAAAAAGAAGAAGAAGCATTCCTAAACATGGATGTGTATGTGGGGGCGGGGGAGGATGGGAAGGGAGAGAAGGGGCCGAGTACTGTTTCAAGAATCTTTGCAGCTGCCCTACAAAATAGATTGTGTCACTACCCTGTACATTAGTCAGGATAAATAATTAGTTGCTGTGAAATAAACCCCATCAAATGTCAGTAAGTAAACAAAGCAGAAGTTCACCTCCTGGGGTACAAAGCAGGAGCAAGGAGACTCGCTCTTGGTGGCTACATCACTTGTGCCCACATTTCATTGGCCACAACACAGCTGTTTCTGCATCTACCTGCAAAGGAGCCTGGGAACTGTGGCCTTTCTCAGAAAGCAAAGAGAAAGGCCCCATGTTGTTTCACAGTGTCCATGGGGTCACCGGAGGTCCCACAGCCAGGATAGGACACAAAAAGATCCAGGACAAAAACCTTGCATGCTCTGTCTTCTGGTCTTAATCTCTCAACTGGACCCTCTGGGTGGGTGGTGGCCTGTTAGGGGGCGGGGGGCTGGCTGCTTCTATCACCAGGAGAAACAGGAGCAGTCCACGGAACGGTGTGGGCACCTCCAGGTCTCCATGTGGCGTCTGCATGTAAGTTCTTCTGATCCAACCGTGAGTGATTCAGTTTGGGTAAAGATGGGTTTAAGATTTTTATAATTGTAAGATAGTGGCTTTCTCTTCCTCTTCAGGACAAAAACCAGATGAGAAGGGGCCCTCTTCCCGGTGCCCATCTTAGCTTCTCCCTGGTGTCCAATGATTTACTTACTCGACATCTGACTGCCTCCCCCCATGGACAGTGAACTTGACCCAGGACAGGAGCCCTTCCTAGCACCAATAGGAAGCACAGTGACAGTTTAGAGACACATCAGCTCTGGTCATTGTCTGCAGGCATCCACCCCAAGAAACAACGGGAGGCGGAGTGGGAGCTTCGAGGATGTCCATTGCCGTGTTGTTTACAACAGCAGAGAACTGGAAATCACCTGGAGGACCCTCTGGAGGACCTGGTAAAATCAGGGTGGCCCGCCACCAGGGGACATTTTACAGACATTGAAATGGATGCTGAAGAGTTTCTGAAGGTCCTCAGACAGTGAAAAATAAAATCAGCAGGTAACACCGGGTACGGTGGCGCACACCTGTAATCCCAGCAGCTCGGGAGGCTGAGGCAGGAGGGTCTCGAGTTCAAAGTCGGCCTCAGCAACAGTGAAGTATTAAGCAGCTCAGTGAGACTCTGTCTCTAAATAAGATACAAAATAGGGCTGGGGACGTGGCTCAGTGGTTAAGGCCGCTGGATTCAATCCCTAGCACCAAAAAAAAAAAAAAAAAAAAAATCAGCAGCTATGGTGGGATCTCAATGTGGTGTAGAGGAAAAAAAAAAAGTTGTGTTAAGTCTCTAAGTTTAGAGTAATTTGTTAGGGCGCTGAGGCCCCTGGATCTGGGTGGGGAGGGCTATTTTGCATATTTGCCATTTTAAAGTGAGAGCCCCGTGGCAGCGGGCACCTGTGTCCTGCTTCTCAGGCTTCTGTCAGCTCTCAGCGCTCCCCGATCCTGACCCTGGTCAGAGGGGTCCTCATGCCCCTCTGACCTCCCTACTTCCTCTGATCACTTCAGGCCCACCTGGACAACCCAGGTGATCTCATCTCAACATCCTGAACTTGCCACTGCAGAGCCCCTTTGGCCACATGAGGTGACAAATTCACAGGTCCTGGGGGTTGGGATACACACCTCTGTGGAGGGCTATGATTCAGCAGCCCACACCTGGAGTAGACCTCAGAATCTTTCTTATCCCCATGGTTCAGAGAGCAACAATCAGTCAGAATCGGCCCTTCTGTCCATGCAGCAAAATATCTCGAGTTGAAGTTCCACCAAGCAGCACTGGGAGCTGTCCTTGGACAGTCGGTCTGCAGGTGAAAATTTATTTTCTCTTGTCTATTTCCTGGAATCTTCTGATTTTTCCAATGAACATGTGTTGTTTTTACAGATGCTAAATAGGAAGGTAGGTAGATAGATAAATAGATATACAGAGATGATAGATAATATAGAATCCTGACAGGTGATGGACACCAATAGACAATAAAGATAGGGGACACATAATAGATGATTGGTTATAGATATAAATGGATGATAGATGAGATAGATGAATCTGGATAATAGATGATAGACAATAGATACGATAGATGATGCTAGATTAATCAATAGATGATAGATGATAGATAAATCAATAGATGATAGATGATAGATAAATGATAGAGATGGCAGAGATGCTAGATACATAGATGATGGGTGATGCTGGATGATAAACAGATGACAGATGGTAAATAGATTATAGATAGATGATAGACAGGTGACTGATAGATTTTTCTTTGGCCTGCTGAACATTGGCTGGAGCACCCAATGGTGGATGTTGGGATGCCCAGCGCACAGGCTCGGGGGGCTGGGCGGAGCTCAGGGAGCTGGGCGGAGCTAGCAAGGCTTCCTCCAAGGCTCAGGATTCTGGGCGTCAAGGGCAGCAGGGGCTTCATGGAGCCAAGTGGCCCCGGCCACCTTTTCTCTGTCCCTTCTTACAGAGTTGTCCTCAGAAAGAGCTCAGAGAAGTTTAGGACTTCCTCATTGCTAGCACAGCAGGAAGGGGCCAAACCAGGATAGAACCAGAACAATACTGGGGACTGCAGGGGCTTGCAGGTGACCGGTCACTCCCAAGAAGTGCCCAGGAAGAGGTCCTCATGCCCCAAGTTCCCAAAAGGAGCTGGGGGTGGTTAGGGGCAGCCTCCATCAGGCTGTTCCTAGAGTCTGAGGCTAGGTCCAGGCCAGCCCTGGGCGTAGGGTCCAGGCCCTGCCCCCAGCATCCCAGGATGCACCGGACTGTGGCCGCAGAAGCCCCATTTGTCAGGAATTCAATTAGGTGGAGAGTCGTTATTAATTTTACCAGCTTCCTGGTCGGAGGAGGCGGTGCCGGGGGTGAAGTCCTGGGGCGCCTCTTCGCTCGCAGCCCGGGGTCAGCCTGCGGAGGCGCGCGATGGCACCAGTCGAGGTATTAATGAGATGCCTCTAGGTGCAAATAATAGTTTAATAGGTGTTACTTAACGGAGCACGCGCACCGCCCGCACGCCCAGGCGCCCGCTGCGCCCAGCTCCCTCCTTGTTAGAATAAGTAATTAGAGTGTACGAACACTCACCCTGACGCTTTAATAAAGTGTCAGCCGTCACCAATTTAGTATTTAATAAAATAAAATTAAATATTTATAACATTTTGGGTAGGCATCGTATCTGAAACACATTGGTCGCCCTCACCACCCCCTCCCAGGCCCTCAGGTGTCAAGCCCCCGGAGGCCCCTTCCTGCCTCCCGGGGCAGAGGCCAGGCCGAGGCCCTTCGTGGGAACATGAGAGGAAGGGGGACAGGGAGAACCAGGCGTCCAGGGAGGGCACAGACCGGGAGGGAGACTGTCTGCCAGGTGAGTGTGCCCAGGTGGTGGGACCACAGGCAGGGCTCTGGAGGCTGCTCGCCTGATCTTTGTGTCCTCCGTTCCCATCTCGCCCATCTGCCCCTGCAAAAGGCCAAGCCCATGCGGGCCCCACTGAAGAAGCCAGAGGCAGAATTGGGGTTGGGAGACCTCAGACAGCCCAGCCCCACCCCCACCCCCACCCCGGATGACCCACAGGGATGTCATGCTCAGAGGATTTGGTGGGGGTCCCAGGAGTCAGGAGGCATGGCTGGGTTCCAGGTGCAACAGAAACACAGAGGGGACAAGAAGCTCCCTAAGGCCTTAGCCCTCCCCACT